TTCAAACCCACCAGCCACTCCTCGGAAGGAAGGTTGGGCAATCCTACTTCCGTAGTGATACTGCCTCGGAAACCCAAGGAGGGGTCGCTATGAGTCGGGGGTCGACTCGACGGCACATAACAACAACAACAACAATTTATCAGAAATATGACTTAATAAAATATCTGGGATTTGTTTGAGTACACATGAAAAAAAAGATAGTCTATGATTTAATAATTGTCAAAGCTTCAAAGCTGGGTGGATGGATATGTGGAGTTTTTCATATCATTTTCTCTACTTTTTATTATAGAAAACTTCAAACATGAAAGTGGAAAAATTGGAAAAGTTTCCTAAATCACTCTTAGTGTATAGCACAATGTACACTTAAGTTTTTCATCTCATTTTAGAACAAAATTGCTACTTACTTGGTTGAGTACCAGATAAAGTCTCAGGCTATGTTAAGGGCAAAACACTGTAACAACCATAGGAAGTTTCCACATTATTTAATATTACCACCTTTTTTCTTTTTTTTTGGTCAGGTTTATATCATATAACTCAATTATGTTAAATGCATTGCTAACATTTTAGTTTTATTCAAACTACAGGGTACTTAATTGTCACACTGTAGGAAAGGAGGGTGAAAACTGGCCCCTGGATACTATCATTTTAATTGTTGTTGTTGTATGCCATCAAGTCAGACCCAACTCATAGTGACCCCTCCTTGGGTTTCCAAGGCAGTATCACTGTGGAAGTAGATTGCCCAACCTTCCTTCCGAGGAGTGGCTGGTAAGTTTGAACCTGCCTTAGGCACTATACTACCAGAGCTCCTATTGAAGAAGTCACTTAAAAAAGATGTGTCTACCTTCAGGAAATGTAGCACTCAGAAGGATTTTTCTAAAATGTTGATTTGAAAGAATTGGATCAGAGAAGCCAGACAAGGGATATGAAGGATTTCAAAATTATGGCAAGAAAAGCGATTCAGTCTAATTTATACACTGTTCCCATTGTTTGGCCATTCTTAACAACTGACAGGGCAGCCTCCTTTTTCTGTCTCATTCACTACTTTCAAATTTCACAAGGTTATTACTAAACAACTATTTGCCCTTTCATGGAATGCTTTATAGAGTCCCTTTACATCTCTAGGCTAAAGAGAAAATTCTCCTGTTATTTAGCAAGAATATACATATTGCAAATTCTAAACTCCAAAATGTTGAGAACTTTTTCACCTGTCCTCAAAGTGTCTTAGGTTTATTTCATAGTTGTTACTGACATCTTTAATGCCTTATAAATACGTGTTTATATTTAAAAAATCCATTTGGTAATAAATCTGAATCATGAAATGCAATTTAACACGTCATACCGTTGTATTCTGACAACTGTACCATCTGGAAAAATACTTTCTTCTTGTCCATCAGCATATAAATTTTTAATAGTCTGGTCAGGAAATGTGATTTCTTTTCTTCCATCGGGAAAATGTTTTTCTGTTTTAAAAAGTTTTCTATAATTATTTTATTTTTTAAAGGAAGGGAAAAATTTAATAAGGAAAGGAGAAGCAAGTTCTTACCTATTTGTCCACTTGAGAAATGTAAAACTTGTAGTCCTTCTGGATAAGTAGTATGAGTGGTCTGGGCAGCTGCATAGTAGTAGATCTATAAAGACAAAAAGCCAGTGTGCCTTTCCCTGAGGTACTTTTAAGCTATAGTGGAAAGCATTCCTACGGAAACATACCACTCTCTCATCTGGCATGACCTGCTTCACGTCACCATTAAAGAAAGTGACAGTGAGAGTCTTCCCATCTGCACTCATTTCTTTCCGAGTTCCATTTGGAAACAATATAACATGGCACCCATTCTTAAAAACCTTTTCTACCTAAAAAGAGAAACCAAGATTATCAATATATAAATTTCCACCTGAAATCATGTGACAAACATAGTTCTAATTATTTTAGTTGCTTATTTTGAAATTTCTCGTAACAAAAAGTAAAAACATTTCTCTCAAAAAGGAAAGAACAGTATAATAAACTCCCAACAATTATCTTCAAGTGCCAATACAATTACCATTCCTAGGTCACTTATTTCCCCAAAGCAAACTTCTATTTTGCCAGAGTTTTTAAAAGCAAATTGCAGACATCACTTCAACTGATACCTGCAATAGAAAATACTGCAATAGGTATCTGAATGGGAAGATTTTTAAAATAACCAAAACCATTATTGTTCTTAGCAAACTCATTCCTTGATCACATAATGACCATCCATGTTGCTTTCACCAAACTTCAAAAAAGGCTTTTCACAATTGATTTATTTAAATAAGGATCAAAACAAGGTCCATACAACACTTTGTTGACATGTCTCCTAATCTTTAACAGTCTCCCCACAACATCTTTTTTTTTTTTTTTAATGCCAATTACTTGTTGAAGGAACTGGGTCACTCAACCTATAGAATTTCCCACATTCTGGATTTGGCTGATTGCTTTCCAGTGGTGTCATTTGATATTATAATATCTTAAAAAAAAAAAAAAAAAACAGATCTAGAGGCTTCATTAAATCAGGTTGGATTCTTTTGACAAGAATATTACATAGGAGGATGGCAGACTAGGCAGAAAGACTGCACAGACCCTCTTCAACAAAGACAAGGGAAACCAATTAACACAAACACAGAAGATAATCTTGGACCCCTGAGCCTTGAAGGGGATGATACAGAAGTGGATTAAACCCCAACTAGCAGAATTTGTGTGAAAAATACCAAAAAAGGAGGCTATGGAGCTGCGATCTGGCAGCGATCCTGTGCAGCACAGACAGCTTGGAGATTATTGAGTAGTGGTAGGACCTAAGAATTAACCTAAAAAATCAGCCCTGCTAGCCAGGGATTGCACAGAGGACTGCTCTGGTAGCTGGGAATAAATGGAGAAGGGGAAGAGAAAGGCAGGTTGAGCTGTGGACTTTTGCTGGTCCGGAGGAAGCTGCCATTTTCAAGGTTTAAATGTGACTTGACTATTTTGGATATTTAAAGAGACAGCGTGCTCGTAGATTAGTGGGGCTTAAGAACACGTTCTCCTTTCCAGCAAGCGCAAGGTCACTCCAGATGTCCAAGACTGAAAAGGTACCACATTCCTCTTGTTACTCTTATACCCCATACCTGCTTGGTGACGGAGGTGCGGCCATCCCCCACTCCCACCTACCTTCTGGGCCCACAGGAACTCCATCACAGTCTATGTGCTCAAACGGAGCCTGGGTGCCCTGCCCTGTCCTCCACCAATTTTTTTCTTCTCTCTTTTTTTTTCTTTTTCACTTTCTTTATTATGTTGATTAGTTTGCTTATATTTCTCTGTTTTAAAACAACTATTATTATTAATACTTTTGTCCTTTTTACTATTATTCTTAATATTCCCCTCCCAGGTCCTAGTTTTCAGCATTTTTCTTTTCCCTGTTCCTGGTGAAAATTTTTTTTCAATTTTTTTTTTTAAAGTGTTTTCTTTTCACCCCCTTTTTTCTCATGGTTAACCCCATTCTTCCTTGTTTTTCTTTTTGCATTTTTCCCAATTTTTCATTCCTTCATTATTCTCCTTCTCCATTTTTTTTCTCTTAGTGCCCTATCCCCAGATATTGCAGGTTTTCTTTTTTCTTATTCTTCTTTTTCCCTTTTTTCTTTTTATGATTACTCTTCCTGCGTGATTACATGGTGTGTTTTTTGTCCATGTGCTTTTAGTTTTTTGATCGTTATTCAGCTGTAATTTGTGTCTAAGTGGGAAACAACAGCAGTCCCCATAAGACACAACTACACCCACACCTCCTGCAATTTCACTTACTGAGCTAGAGCCACTACCTCCTTCTCCACCAATGGGCCAATGACAAAAAACCACTAAGAAGAGCCTGAATCATCCTTGGCTGCTCCTCACAAACAGTTAACAGAGATCTAAATAGAATGACGCCACGATGGCTCAGAGACAACAGACCATCACAGTCCACACGAGCAGGATAAAGTGGTAGAAACAAGGGAGCAGGATACAGACCCAGAACACATCCCTGAGGAAGAAACAGGATTAGAACTCTCTGATAAGGAATTCAAAAGAATTATCTTTAGGTATCTTCAAAGGATTAAGAGACTGACCAAAGAAACCACACAAAAAAACCCTAGAAGAATTTTGGAAGAAAACACAAGAACAAAATACCAAAATAAATGAAAAATTAGAACTGATTCTAAATCTACAGATAGAAATCCAGAAGATTAATACTAAATTGTCAGAAATAGATAACACATTGGAAGGGCAAAGGAGAAG